TTTCTATCGACGTGAAGAATATGGCGTGGAGATGCTGCCATCTGCTGGCCACCAACGTGGCGTGCAGATGCTGCCAGGTGGGATTTGAGAGGTGAGCGCGGTTGGTAAGGTGTGATTGGGTTGGTGAGTGAGGTTGGTGAGATGCGTGGTGAGTGTGTCGGTGAGCCCGTGGAGGATTCGCCTCCACGGCCGCCTTTGTCTCCCCCAGTGGCGATGTTCACTCCACACCGCACCAGGTACCCATCTGAGGCTGAGTCGACCTCTCACTCTCTCACTGTCTCACTCACGCACTCACTCACAGCGCGAGTTCGCGTTGTCAGGCGATATAAAATAATTAATATTTCATGCCAGTTGGTTCTGAAGTGCGGCTGTTTGTAATTTGGGCGTTCGTAAGTCGAGGACTGTCTGTGAATAAAGATTCCGATTGTGGATGTGGGGCTTTAACCGTGGGGTGAGCTTGGCCCGATATAACAAAAGTTATATATATATAACTGTTACGCTTTGTGTTGTTTGTTGTCAACAAACAACAGGAAATTTGGTGCTTACAAAAAGAAAATGTTTGATCGTCACCCGAGTATGAGTTCGTGACCAGATTAAAACATGTTGTGAGTTTTTTGGTCGTAACCCGATTTGGTCGTGGTCAGAAGCGTTCGTGACCAGAGGTTCGACTGTACAGATTCGCTACAGCAGGAGATAAAGGAGAGCCCATTGCTGCTCCTTCCTTTTGTTTAAAGAAATCACCTCTCCATAGGAAATAAGTCTGTTAGAGGCCACGGGGGGGGGGGGGGGAGTTTATCGTTGTGTTTTTCGCTGCGAGCAGACGGCGCGCAATGGAGAGCTTGCTCAGAGCGGAGCTGGGCACGGACTCGGCGAGGCCGCTGGGCGCTGCGGCCGGTGGAGGCTGCATCAGCGCCGGGCAGAGCTACGAGACGGGGCGCGGACACGTGTTCACCAAGATCAACGCCAAGAGCGGGGCACCCTCCTCTACACCTCCTCACCTCCTCACCTCCTCACCTCCTCACCTCTTCACTACACCACCTCACCATGTCACCTCGCCCCTAACTATGCCACGTCACCACCTCACCTCCTCTACCCTCTTTGCCTCCTCTACACCACCTCGCATCCTCGCCTCGCTCTCAACCTTCATTCAGCCCTATAATTAATGTCTTTCCACGCGCACCAGTATCACTCTTTTTTTCGCTGCGACTACTACCACCACCGTGGTGAATGTTGCAGTGAACTTCACCTCGTTGATTCCCCCTCCACCCACGTTAAGGGACTCGGTCTACCAGACACTTTGACCGCTTCGTCTCTTCCACTCCGCGTTCAACCACCTCGCCACACTGCAGTTCACAACAACGCACTCAACTAAACAACTCAATCACATTAATTCTAGATTCGAAGCTTTCGTGACTGCAAGGAATCATATTCTTAGGTTTTTTCGGTAAAGTCACGTAGGTAAAACATTAAAATTAATGAAAATAAAATAAAGCAACTCAATCACACACTCATTCAGTCACCCACTCACTCAATCACCCACTCATCCAGTCACCCACTCATCCAGTCACCCACTCATCCAGTCACCCACTCATCCAGTCACCCACTCATCCACTCACCCACTCATCCAGTAACCCACTCATCCAGTCACCCACGCATCTCAATCACCCTATCACCCACTCAACTCGTCACTAATTTAATCACACACTCATTCAGTCACCCACTCACTCAATCACCCACTCATCCAGTCACCAATTCATCCAGTCACCCACTCATCCAGTCACCCACTCATCCAGTCACCCACTCACCCACACAATTACCTATCACCCACTCATCCAGTCACCCACTCATCCAGTCACCCACTCATCCAGTCACCCATTCAATCACCCACGCATCCACTCACTCACCCACCCACTCATCCACTCACCCACTCATCCACTCACCCACTCATCCACTCACCCATCACCCACTCACACTCACCCACTCATCCACTCACCACTCATCCAGTCACCCACTCATCTAGTCACCCATTCAATCACCCACGCATCCACTCACCCACTCATCCACTCACCCACTCACTCAATCACCCACTCATCCAGTCACTAGCTCATCCAGTCACTAAATCATCTAGTCACTCACTCAATCACCCTTTCACACACTCATCCAGTCACCCACGCAATTACCCTATCACCCACTCATCCAGTCACCCACTTATCCAGTCACCCACTCATCCAGTCACCCACGCATCCACTCACCCTCTCACCCACTCATCAACTCACCCACTCACCCACTCATCCACTCACCCACTCATCCAGTAACCCACTCATCCAGTCACCCACGCGTGCGGTCACTGACTCAACCACCCTATCACACACTCATCCAGTCACGCACTCATCTCAATCACCCTATCACCCACTCAACTCGTCACTAATTCAATCACACACTCATTCAGTCACCCACTCACTCAATCACCCACTCATCCAGTCACCCACTCATCCAGTCACCCATTCAATCACCCACGCATCCACTCACCCACTCACCCACTCATCCAGTAACCCACTCATCCAGTCACCCACGCATCCGGTCACTGACTCAATCACCCTATCACACACTCATCCACTCGTTTACTCAAACACTCACCCATTTACTCACCCACCCGCTCACCACCATGCAGGTCACCTCACTCTTTTCAGCTTTATCAGTTTGCACTGCTCTACTCTGGAATCCCCACCCGGTCTTCCTATTTCCCCAAACTCTTGCAACAATAAACTTGATCAATTTAAGGAACGTGTTTCTATGATCTTAATTATCTAATTACTCATTGGACAGTTATGTATTATTTTTTGTTGTTGCTGGCCGCTTGGCGTTTTGTATTGTGTGGGGTTTGCATGGCTGTCAACCCCTTATCATTGCCTCTTATTACAGACCAATTCAGACCTTGTTGGTCACCCCGTGCCCCTTATAAATCTCAACGTTCATCCTACAAAGTCCCATCACAAGGGAGAAGCACACACAAATAGACTTAACACAAATGTTGCCCGTTTTCAAACGGCTGTGCCCGTATGGACCTGAAAACTCACTTTCGCCCAACAGAATACGGGTAAACCGTGTGGGTTGACAGCTACGGGTTTTGTTGTGTTTGCGAGTCCAAGTTATAGGACTGCACCCTGGGTTGTGCGTGGTTCTCATTGGTGGGAGATTCCCTTCGCTGCGTTGCACGCCAGTGGCTGCCTGGGGCCAGTGACGTGTGAGCCGGTCCCAATGTGCACCGGCAAACATTTATCGCTAGGTGGCCCCAGTGTTTGTTGCCCGTCTGCACGTGGATACCTGAAGCCCATGTCACTCCACTGCTGGATGAGTCCCGCAATGAAGATACAATCAGTACATCCACTTTGCTTTTGCACTCTACCTGTGTAGTGCCATAAGAGGGGAGGGGCTGCTGGGGGCTCTGGGACCCTAGACAGATAAGCCCTCGGCGCCAGGCGCTAGGATCCCAGGCACCCCAGACAGTTAAGCCCCTTGGCGCCACCAACGGGGGGCTGTGTGTGCTCTGTGGGATATCTGGGGGCGCACACAACCCCACCCCTCGTTGGGGACGAGGCATAAAAGGGCAGCTCCCTGGCCGATCGGGGCCAGTCGCAGCTCAAGACCCAAGACCCGCCAGCCAGCCAGCTTAGGACCCTGGACCCCCTCGTCCCGCTTGTCCTTGTAAGGGCCGGGACGCTGTGAGGGCCAGTGGTGGGACTCTGGGACTCCCGGCTCTACGTCCTTGTAAGGGCGAGTTCCGAGGAAGCCAGAGTCCAGACCCGCACCTTGGCTGGGTCGGGTCAGGTAGCCTCCCCTAGGGTAATTGTAGCCGAAGGACCCCAGAGCGTAGCCAGAGTAGTGTATCTAGGCTGTGTACCTAGGCTGTGTACCTAGGCCAGACATGGGCAAAGTACGGCCCTGGGCGTATACGGCCCGTTGGGCTTTTTAATCCGGCCCGCCGAACTTGTCCAAATATTATTATTAAATTAAATTTTACCTTCCTCCTGTAATGCCCCCATTTCCCCAATAGATGGCGGACTTTGACCGGGAGAGAGAGAGAATATTCGTATGAGCAATTCATGTTTCTATTGAAAGTAAGTTAACAGTAATATTTGGGTACAGTATTGTTTTTGGAAGCATTCACTGTAATATCGTATGAACGTTTACTTCACCGCATCATCGTATGAATGATGCGAGAAGAGATTAACGGGTTCTTATGTTAGCGATTTACGTACTCGGTGCTTTCGCTCTCTAAATTACGGCTTGAATGAGGGGGAGGGGTATGACTACATCACAAAATTAATATCTTACTAGGAATTTTATATAACAAAAGTTATATACATAACTGTTACGCTTTGTGTAATTCAACAAAAAACAAAACTTAACTCCGAGTTCTCTCCGAATTTCACGAGTCCGTTCTAGACCCCACAGTTTTTTTTAAAGAGTTTTAAGCACAGAAAACATAATTAAAGTTTGAAAAATCATTAATTATACAAACTTTTCAATAATTTCCTTCTTCACTTCGATTTAAATTTTCTTTAAAAACTTCTTCTCACCAACATTACCACTCATTACCACTTTCTCCGAAGGCAAGTTTGTAAAAGAATACATGGTACAGACAGCAGACATCTTGTGTCCGGAGATCAAAAGCAAATTTGAAAAAGTCAGTTTATCACGCAGGACTGTGACTCGCCGTGTGGAACTGATTGATAAAAATATAGCCAGTCAATTAAACAAAAAGTCTGATTCCTTTGAATTATATTCACTAGCACTGGATGAAAGTACGGACGTAAAAGACACTGCTCAGCTCCTCATTTTTATCCGAGGCATTGACGACAGTTTTGCGATAACAGAGGAGTTTTTGACCATGGAGTCCCTGAAAGGAACAACGCGGGGAGAGGACTTGTATAACCAGGTATCTGCTGTCATCGAAAGAATGACGCTACCTTTGAGTAAACTTGTCAATGTCACAATGGATGGATCTCCCAAATTTAACTGGAAAAAATGTTGGGCTGCTGAAAAGAATCCAGGATAAAGTGAAAGAGGAAAACCCTGTCCAGGATCTTATTTTCCTTCACTGCATCATCCATCAGGAATCCCTGTGTAAGTCTGTATTGCAGCTTAATCATGTCGTGAATCCAGTCGTAAAACTTGTGAACTTTATACGAGCAAGGGGACTTCAGCACCGTCAGTTTATTACGTTCCTGGAGGAAACTGATGCGGATCATCAGGACTTGCTGTACCACTCTCGTGTCCGCTGGTTAAGTTTGGGGAAAGTGTTACAACGAGTGTGGGAGCTGAAAGAAGATATCATCGCATTTTTGGAGTTGATGGGGAAATCTGACGAATTCCCTGAGCTAAGCGACAAGAACTGGCTTAGTGACTTTGCGTTTGCTGTGGACATATTTTCACACATGAATGAGCTGAATGTGAAACTGCAGGGGAAAGATCAGTTTGTTCACGACATGTGCAAACATGTGAAAGCCTTCAAATCCAAGCTCACTTTGTTCTCCGGACAAATTGCGAACAAATCTTTCGCTCATTTCCCCACACTTGCCATGCAGGAAGAGGCACCGCGAAACGCAAAAAATACAGCAAATCACTTGAGGACCTGCACGGAGGATTCTGCCATAGGTTCTCTGATTTCGAAAACATTGAACAGTCACTTCAGCTGGTGTCCTGCCCCCTGTCACAAGACCCTGAAACAGCACCACAGGAGCTACAGTTGGAACTGATAGATCTTCAGTCTGAGTCCGTCCTAAAGGAGAACTTCAACTCTAGTAGTAGGTTTTTACCCTTTTAAACTGGTACAAAACTGACACCTTTATTCAAGGCATCATGTTTGCAATGACCACAACACAAGTAGTCAAAAAAGCTAACAAAAAGAAGCAACTCTGATAATGATCATAATATGCACTGTCCTTGAAGTTGATTGTTCCACACCCGAGACGCCTTTCTTTAGAGCCTAGTCCCCATTGGTGTTGGACCAGATGACACCAGAAGGCGTACAACTCAAACACAGTGCAATATCAGAGTATTGAGAGCTCGGGTTAAGCATTTACACTATGAGATCTCTTTAACCAGTGCCAAAATATAGTAGTAGGTTTTTACCCTTTTAAACTGGTACAAAACTGACACCTTGTTTGCTTTTTTGACTACTTGTGTTGTGGTCATTGCAAACATGATGCCTTGAATAAAGGTGTCAGTTTTGTACCAGTTTAAAAGGTTAAAAACCTACTACTATATTTTGACACTGGTAAAAGAGATCTCATAGTGTAAAAGTTCAACTCTGTTAAACTGAATGACTTTTATGCTTCACTTAACAGAGCCACGTTTCCAAACCTCCGGAGGACTGCACAGAAGATACTGACTTTGTTTGGCTCGACTTATGTGTGTGAGCAGACATTCAGCGTCATGAACGCCAACAAAGCCCGTCACAGATCAAAGTTAACGGATCAGCACCTCAGATCTATCCTGAGAATTGCCACAACCAAAATAACTCCAGACTTGGATGCACTGGCAAAAATGGGAGATCAACAACACTGTTCCCACTGAAACTGAAAGTGATTGTGTTGCTGCAGCGAGGTTGGAGCCAAATCTCCATCACACAGCCTGCGTGGCTGCTCTAACCTGTTAATGTAGATGATAAAAAAGTTCAAGTGAGGTAATTGGTTTGGGCGCAGGCCTCAGTTGTTTTCATGATGTTTGATCAGTCACGTTACGACATGTTTTTGTATTGTTCATGTTCGTGCAATTTGTTAAATTGCCTTGCAAATAAATGCTTTGCTACCTGTTAAAGGCCAAATCCTTTCATGTAATAATTTTTACATGTCATTTATATTAGTTCACACAAACACTCCATCCATCTGTTTCTGGCCCGGCCCCTCTGTCAAATTTTAGAACCCATTGTGGCCCCGAGTGAAAAAGTTTGCCCACCCCTGCACCACCCAATCACACCTGGCACCATCGACACGCCACAAGAGTGGCGACCAATGTGGGGGTGTAGATGCTGCCACCTGCCGGCCACCAATGGGGCGTGTCGATTTTGACTTAAACTTTCGTGACTTCAGGAATTCATATTCTTGGTTCTTTCGGTAAAGTAACGTCGACAGAAAATAAAAATAATCAAATAAAATTGAAATACAAAAAAAATATGAAATTTAAAATAATAAAAACAAAAAACCCACATTCATATTCTTGGTTCTTTCAGGAAAGTCACGTAGTTAGAAAATGAAAATAAAATAAAAGTAATGAAATATTTTTTTATTTTAAAATAATGAATTTTAAATAATAAAAACTTTTATTATTTTCAATTCATTATTCGTATTGTAAATTTTATTTTATTATTTTTATTTTCTATCGACGTAAAGCAGGCATGTCCAAATTCCGGCCCGCGGTCAGATTTCATACGGCCCGCAGCTTCGGTCTTATTACGTGTTATTTATGGCTCGCTATCTCTGTCAGAATAAATAAATCATAAAACTTCCTCCTTCCGCCACACGGTGGCAGCACCATTCTAATGCCCTCTGGCTTTGCATACGTGCCGCGAACCCTTCTCGAATTATTTCTGCCATGGCGACTGCAAAAAAAAAGAGAAAAGTTGACAGTGAGGGCCGCCGCTTTCAGGAGCGGTGGGAATTATAATACTTCTTCACTGGAAATCGAGGCAATTGTGTTTGTCTAATTTGTAAAGAGACGGATGCCTTGTTTAAGGATTTCAACATAAAGAGACACTACAAAACTAAACATGCTACAACATACGACAAGCTAACAGGGAGTGACCGCGCTGAAAAAGTGAAGCAACTCCGTGCTGCTCTGGCATCGCAACAGTGATTCTTCACGCGGGCCTGTGAGTCAAAGGAAAACATCACCAAAGCCAGCTACGAAGTGGCCATGTTAATAGCTCAACATGGCAAACCTTTTACTGAAGGTGCATTTATCAAAGACTGTGTCATGAAAATGGTGGAGAACATTTGCCCCGAGAAGAAGCAAGAATGTATGAATGTTTGCCTGGCACGCAACACTGTGGCACGGAGAGTTGAGGACATATTGTCAGATATTCCGAGACAACTGGGGGACAGGGGAGTGGCTTTTGATTATTTCTCATCAGCCTGCGATGAAAGCACCGATGCATCTGACACTGCACAACTACTTATGTTTTTAAGAGGAGCTGATGACAACATGAACGTGACAGAGGAGCTGCTTGACCTCAAAAGCTTTAATGGGCAAACCAGAGGAACAGATTTTTTCGTTTCTGTTTGTGAAGCTGTTGATATGAAACTACCATGGAGTAAAGTTTCTGGGATCATTACCGATGGTGCACCTGCCATGGCTGGTGAGCGAAGTGGATTGTCCACACTGATCTGCAATAAAGTCAGCGAAGAAGCAGGCAACGCTTTTAAACTTCACTGTATCATTCACCAGCAGGCTCTCTGCGCCAAACATCTCAAATTTGACGATGTTATGAAACCAGTGGCAAAGGCAATCAATTATATTCGCTCTAAAGCTCTATACCACTGACAGTTTCAGCAGTTCTTGCGTGATACCAGGCTGAATACGGTGACGTAATATATCACAACGATGTGAGGTGGCGAAGTCGGGGGTCCGCACTGCAGCGATTTTTCTCTCTCAAAGAGGAAATTGAACATGTTTTGGGTGAGAAGGGACAGCCAATGGAAGAACTGTCCGATCCTGTATTGTTGGCAAATCTGGCTTTTTTGGTTGACATAACGAAGCATCTGAATGCGCTGAATGTTAATCTTCAAGGAAAAGATGCAGTGGTGAGCCAGCTATATGCTCACATCAAGGCCTTTGGAACCAAACTGCAACTTTTCCAAAGACACTTGTCCCAAACAGAGCCCTGCACTGCGCACTTCCCAGCTTTGAAAGAGGTCATTGACAGTTTCCCACAGGACAACATCGGTGCGCAAATGAAGAGTTATGCAACAGCTATTGCATCTCTTTCTGTGGAATTTAACAAACGCTTTTGGGACTTTGCAGTTATTGAAAAGACATGTTGCTTTTCTCTTCTCCCTTCTCCGTGGACCCTGATGATGCTCCTCCACAGCTGCAGCTGGAGCTCATTGAGCTGCAGTGTGACGATGAGTGCCGCGGAAAACACCAGCAGTGTTCTCTTGTTCACTTTTACCAGCAGCTGGACAAAAGCAGGTTTCCAGAAATGCGGTCATTTGCTAAGAAAATGCTGAGCTTATTCGGCTCCACATATTTGTTGAGCAAACATTCTCAGTCATGACCTTAAATAAGAACCGATTGAGGTCAAGGATGAGTGACTCCCACTTGCGTGGCATTTTACGCATCTCAACCACTGCCCTCAAGCCAGACCTGGTCTCTTTACTGAAATCTATATCTCAGTATTACCCTTCTCATTAGTATCAGCAAGTTATCTGTTCCTTGATCAATCTGAAATTGAGTGTTTTGAACGGTAACATATGTCACTATTAACACTGAAAAGCCTAAAGCACACTAATGCACTTGGACTTATGGCACTTGTTTTATTAAACTCTTGAATAAGATTTGGTTATACTGTAACTGTTGATGTTATGTACCTGTAGATGTGACACAAACTATTGCTTTCTGAAAGATCTTGTAAAAGGCAAGGGCAAAATTCACTCATTTAAAAGTTTAATGATAACAGACCACTTTGCATTACTTATAACTCCTGTTTAAAATGTTCATGAGGTAAAGATATTAAACTCATGGAAATTTAAGGTATTCTATACAGTTTATTCAATGTTTTCTGACTGAATGAAAGGCAGAATTGTGTTTTTAGAGTTGTTCACGTCTGCCTGAATGACTTATATTTGGTTACATTGTCATTTGAAAAATAAAGGTAATTGTGACAATGAAAATTGTTTTATAACAGTGTGTATTTTCACGTAACTTTTGTGTTAAAAAATGTCGGAAGGAACTATTGGCCCCCGGGCATCTTTACTTTATCAAATTTGGCCCTCTTTGCAAAAAGTTTGGACACCCCTGACGTAAAGAATATGGCGTGGAGATGCTGCCATCTGCTGGCCACCAACGTGGCGTGCAGATGCTGCCAGGTGGGATTTGAGAGGTGAACGCGGTTGGTGAGGTGTGATTGGGTTGGTGACTGAGGTTGGTGAGATGCGTGGTGAGTGTGTCGATGAGCACGTGGATGATTCTCCTCCACGGTCGCCTTTGTCTCCCCCAGTGGCGATGTTCACTCTACACCGCACCAGGTACTCATCTGAGGCTGAGTCGACCTCTCACTCTCTCACTGTCTCACTCTCACTCACGCACTCACAAGCGCGAGTTCGCGTTGTCAGGCGATATAAAATAATTAATATTTCATGTCAGTTGGTTCCGAAGTGCGACTTTGTAATTTGAGCGTTCGTAAGTTGAGGACTGTCTGTAAATAAAGATTCCGATTGTGTTCTTAGGTTTTTTCGGTAAAGTCACGTAGTTAAAACATCAAAATTAATAAAAAATAAAATAAAGATCACGACGTTTCGGAGGCAACACAAGTCTCCGTCATCAGGTGGGACCGTCACAGCCAGATTAGCTGCATCAAGTGAGGCACTGATTCAAGATGTAATCCCTTAAAAGCGAGTTGAGGGGGAGGAGAGGGAGGGGGAGCTCATCAGAATGTGGTAGCCAATGAATGGAACGTATCGGGAGGGAGGGGGCGGGGCCAAAAGGGTGGGCGACGGCGTGGAAGCGATTGTGCGCAAGCGACTAACTGTTGCACAAC